AACTGGACAAGCTTTGGCCTACATAGAAGATTGTCTGATCATCTAGGCCAGGACTCTCCAAACTTGAAAACTTTAGGACTTGTGGACTTCAACTCCCAGAATTCTCCAGCCAGCCATACAGTTTAAAGTTGCCAAGGTTGAGAAACACTGTTATGGATATTTATACTAAGGACAGGAAGAACTTCCTTTCTGTCCAAACCTTGAAAAACTATCCACAACAAAAGTTATAATATTAGCTTAGATCGGGGTCCCCAAATTTGGCAACTCTAAGACTTTAAGGATGGCTGGCTGAGGAATTTTGGGAGTTGAAGTCCACAAGTCCTAAAGTTTTCAAGTTTGGAGAGTCCTGGCCTAGATGATCAGACAATCTTCTATGTAGGCCAAAGCTTGTCCAGTTCTCAGAATTATATTTCCTCCCACTTATTCTATTCTATTCTATTCCGTTCCATTCCACTCCATTCCACTGCATTCTTCCTACTCTACTCTACTCTACTCTACTCTACTCTACTCTACTCTACTTACTCTACTCTACTCTCTCTACTCTACTCTACTCTACTCTACTCTACTCTGCAATGTTCTGCAAATTGACCACTGCAGAATAATGGTTTCACACTTATATGTACCTGCCAAGTGTCATAACCATAACATAAGCCATCCAGCATCTCTGAATATATTTAGCGAATAAATACAGTAAACAAGCAGCGAAGCTTGGTATGAGTGACCTGTGGCTCTCCAGATGTTGATGAATTCAGACCTTGCACCCTCGGTAGTGAGGGATGGCTGAACTTGTAATTGGGCAACATTTGGAGTGCCATGATACCTTAACGATCACCAAGATATGGGGATGCTGCATGCACATCTGGTACCTGGTACCGTCCTGTATGCACATCACTCCATTGGTTGGTCGCTGTGGGAAAGAAGGTTGAAATGTGGAAAGGACTCTTCTGAAACAAAATGGCGGAGGGAGGGAAATAGGGTTTGAAGAATGCTCTTGTTTAATATTTTTTTCCACCACTTTCTTTTTTCCGCCTTCCAGGAATCTATCACTGTTACAGAGAGTATGATATCCTCAAAAAGAAAGGAGCCACTGTTCAGACTATCGGATTTACCACTAACTTCAGCGCTTATGGCAGTGTCAAAGAGACCTGGATGGTAGCCTGTAAGTCAGGGCAGAAGAGTGAACTTCCTTTGGCTTGCTTGGACAAGGGCACAAACACATGGCCTTTTTTGGATCTCGGGAATGTGCAGGAGCAGGAGAAGGGCAGGAACATCTGATCAAAACAAAGAAGAGGATGTGTTCCATGTATTTCCCACCCACCCCCCACCTCCCCATAGGTTTTGCTTAAACCTCAACCTTTTTTCAACATTCATTTCTCCTTAGCTCTCTTCATTCCTCCAGTTCTTACCGAAATACCATTAATTCTCAGTTTTGTGAATTGGAACCAGAGTTTCAGAACTTCCTTTGGCAGTTGTTAAGCCATTCACCCCCGATTTGTATGACACCACACCCTTTTTGCAAATGGTTAAGCGAATCACTGCAGTTGTTAAGTGAATTATTGGTTGTTAAGCAAATACAGCTTCCCCAATTGCCTTTGCTCGTCAAAAGCTGCTAGCGGCCTTGGGCAGCACACAATTGGCAAGTGAAACAGGCTCACTGATCAACCAGCAGGAAGTTGAGAATTGCAAGTTTTTGTACATCGAGTGCCTGTGGGTATGTTTTTGAGTGTGGTATGTACGAGTAAATTCCCAAAGCCCAGCCAAACTTTGTCTCCTTTCTCTCTCCCTCCTCCAGTGATTGTCCTCTGTGTGGTGGAAGCCATCTTGTTGCTTAGTCTCGTGTTCCTCCGCAACCGGATCTTCATTGCCATCGCGCTCATCAAGGAAGCCAGCCGGTAAGTGGAGCCCCACAATGCTCAGGTGCCATTTGCGGGTTTAGATTCTGTGCGGGCACTGAGGGAGAGACTGATAGTTCTCCGTTGTCTCTTTCTCCAGAGCCATTGGGCATATGATGTCCACCCTCGTCTACCCACTGCTGACTTTCATCTTAATCGTGATCTGCGTGGCCTATTGGGGCATGACGGCTCTGTATCCTTTCCGACGATGCGGTGATCTTTCATTTATTTAGCACATTTATATGCTGCCCAATTCACTCTAAAACGACACCGGAAGACTTTTTCTTGCTTTCCTTTGAGAGAATCTGCCAATGCCACATCTGTACATGATGATGATGATGATGATGATGATGATGATGATGATGATGATGATGATGATGATGATGATGATGATATCATTTCTGACTCTTGGCAATTCAATGGTCAAGGTCTCTCCACATCAACTAACCTTGCACTACCCGTGTTTTCCCGAAAATAAGACCCTGTCTTATTTTCTTTTGACCTCCAAAATAAGCGCGCAGAAGGATAGAAGCAGGGGTGGGTTTCTCGCCCCGTTCCACCCGGTTCGGTTGGAACGGGGCG